CACTAACTCCACCCCAAATCAAAGAATAAATAGCAATTGAAACACAGAAAGATGGCAGGCAGGAGGTGAAATTTGAAAGTCCTCAGCATATAGATGAACTTAAAGCCAATCTTGAGATAATCTAGGAAAAGATTCAATCTGGGTCTTCCAACATTTAAAGATGAGGTAAAAAAATAAAATAAAAATAAATACAAACAGTGCTAGAGATATAGAAAGTAGGGTATCTGCCTTGCATACAGCCAACCTGGGTTCAATCCCTGACACCCCATATGGTCTCCTGAGCACTGCCAGGAGTAATTCCTAGTGCAGAGCAAGAAGTAAACCTTGAGCATTGCCAGGCGTGCCCTCCAAAAATAAATAAATAAGGAAAAGAAACGAAAAAAAATAAAACAGTGGTAAATAGAGGCCAACAAGTGAGAAGAAAGCCTGAAAAGCACAGACCCTGAAAAGGAAGACAGCTAACCTATAAGCTGAGCAATAGGAGGTCACTGCAAAATGACTACTTTAGCAGAGTCACAGAAAAAAGATACCACGCTGAAGTGAACCAACAAGAAAATTCTAGTAAATAAGGAATGCTTTCAACTGTGAGAGAAAAGAAAGTTAAAAACAAGAAAAGAGCATCTTCTGTGAGCTTTACCACCCTACACAAGTCGAGGGTGACATAAACTACAACAACTGCAGAAATCTGTTCCTGCTCCATGGCAAGCTGTGGGTGGACTGTGGGAGTTGTGATGGGCAAGGGCAGTTCTACGACCAGCAGCTACTAAATTCTTCTAACAATGTGAAAAGTCAGAGGAATAACCCAAGTCTTAGATGAGACCTGAACATACTGATCCCATTTCCTAGACTTGGTCCCAACCAAAAAAATCACGTTATCCGAAGCGAGAACGTGAGACCAAGAGAACTGTGAGATAGATAGGAAGTGGGTATTGTTCTAAGCCACTGAGTCTGAAGGAGTTTGTTATATAGCATTAAAAAACCTATCTTCAAAAGAGTTCCTATTTCAAAACTGTAAGAGAGAGAATCCAGAGAGATAGCAGAAGGGTGAAGGCACTTGTCTTGAGTGCAACTACCTGGGGTCAAACTCCAGCACCACCTGTCTCCCCCGAACAATGTCAGATGTGGCCCTGCAGCACCACTGGGTGCAGTTTCTGAGGGCCGCTGGAGAGGGGCCTCCAAGTCTCCCCTCAAGTTACTTCAAGTCTCCAGGACATCGCCTGATGAGTCCCCAAAAGTTTTAGTAAAAAATAAAAGTAGAGATCTGGAGCAATAGTAGAGGGCATTTGCCTTGTACATGGTCCACCAGGGTTCGATCCACAGCACCCCATATGGACCCCTGAGCCTGCCAGGACTAATTCCTGAGCACAAAGCCTGGAGTAAACCTGAGTACCACCAGACGTGGCCCTCCTCCCCTCAAAATATAAGCTGTATCTGAATACATAATGCATGTGCCTATGTTTGTGTGCAGTTGGCATATCACTTAATCACTTAATCATTTAACTTCCCGTTAGTCGTCGATTTGCTCGAGCGGGCGCCAGTAATGTCTCCATTTGTCCCTGTCGCGTGCTAGTGTAGCCCAATGGCATCTGTTCGCTCTGGGAACATGAAGGGCCTCAAACCGATCGTTCATGATCTTGACGAAGAAGTCTGACCATCTGGTAGGTGGGCGGCCACGCAGTCTTTTGACATCCCGTGGAATCCAGTCGGTAACAGCTCTAGTCCAGCAGTCGTCTTTAAATCTCATTACGTGACCAGCCCATCTGATTTTCGACTCCTTGGCAAATGAGACAGCATCCCTGATTCTTGATCGTCGACGGATGTCAGAACTCCGGATTCTTTCTCTCATTTGAGTGAAACGTGACATTCCAAGCATAGCTCTTTCTATTCTTCTTTGGGAGACCTGAATAGCGTTCTCATCTTGTTTGCGTAGGGCCCAGGTCTCTGAGGCATATGTTAATGCAGGAAGAACAGTGGAATCAAAGAGATGTGCCCGGAGCCGGAGGTTCTTCGTCCTCTTAGCTATTTCTTCGACGTTCTTGAAGGCGTTCCAAGCCGCTCTCTTCCTCCTGCACAGCTCGGGTGCCAGGTCATTTGTCATGTTGACCTCTCGACCTAGGTACACATAGCTGTTGCATTCAGAGATGGTCGTTCCATTGAGAACGAATGGGGCGTCAGGAACGAGGCTGTTTCTCATAAACATTGTCTTCGTAAGATTCAGCTGTAGTCCTACCTTTCCACACTCACGGTCAAAGTCGGCCAGCATTTGTGCCGCTTGGCTGATGTTTGGTGTTATTAAAACAATGTCATCAGCAAAGCGGAGGTGGTATAGTTGCCGACCATCTATCTTCACTCCCATTCCTTCCCATTCCAGTCGTCGCATGACGTTCTCGAGGGTGGCACTGAAGAGTTTCGGTGAAATGGTATCACCCTGCCGCACCCCTCTCTTGACATCAACGATCACTTCTTTGTAGAATGGTGAGATCCTGGTAGTGAATCCGCAATACAGCTCACGGAGGATCCTGATGTATTGGGCTTGAATGCCCTGATTGGCTAGGGCTTCAATGACCGCTTCCGTCTCAACAGAATCAAAGGCCTTCTTTAAATCAATGAACGTTAAACAGAGTGGCATCTTGAACTCCCGAGAAACCTCAATGAGCTTGGTTATCGTGTGGATATGGTCGATGATGCTGAATCCTTTGCGGAACCCGGATTGCTTGCATGGTTGTCCTTCATCTAGTGTTCTGCCAATCCTATTTAGGATGACTCGAATGAACAACTTGTAGATGACAGACAATAGGCAGATCGGGCGATAGTTGCCAATGTCATGGATGTCTCCCTTCTTGAACAGTAGTACGGTCCTGCTGGTTTTCCATTGGGACGGAACCTTGCAGTTGGCATATAAGTATTTATAAACACAATTCCTTGCACAAAATTACTTTTTATATTAAATATTCAAATTTAAATAAAGTTTCTTAAAAAACAACCCAACTCTCATATATTGATCATAGGGGGAGTATATAATAGTATAATCACTTTGGAAAATGCAATTTCTACTCACTGGTCTACTGGGAAGTCTTATTTGGAGTACAAAGAAAGAGCCACCAAAAAATATGCACTTGACTCTCCATAGCAAACAAAGCTATAATAACACTCAATGGGAAGCAATTCAAATGTCCAATCATAGGACAATGGAAGAGCTGTTTTTCCCTTTAACGGAAAAGGGACATGAATTAAAAAGAACGAAGTGGGGGAGTGGGTATAAGATAGTACAGCACGTTAGGGTGCTTGCCTTGCACATGGCCAACCAGATTCAATTCCCTGTACCACATATGGTCCCAGAGCCCGAGCAGGATTAATTTCTAAGTGCAAAGCCAGGAGTAAACCCTGACCAGCAGAACGTCACTGGGAGTCTGCTGAGTGAAAGAAGCCAGAACAGTATAAAATGAGTACCTGTGGTGACAGATGTCAGTTTTAGTGGGGAGCAGAACCTTCAGAGGCACACCCAATATCTGTGAGTGATGTTGAGAAAGTTCCATGTCCTAATCTCATAGATTACATGGGTGATCACACAGTAAACTGGGTCACTGGATTTATGATGAATGCATTTTATTGTTATATTTTAAATACATTCTTGCTACTTTACAACAGCTACTCAATAACCATGTATAACATTCTTCATGTGACCTGGCATATATTTAGAAGAGGTGTGAAACTGCATCCCTAAAACATACACAGTTTTGTAAACTATCATCTCAATGATTTTTAAGAACCATTTCTTTTTTTTTTAATTTTTATTAGTGAAACACCATGAGGTTCAGTTGTAGACTTACAAATTTTTGTGCTTGGATTTCGATTATACAATGATCAAAAGAACCATTTCTAAAGGGCTGATTCCAGGGTTGGGGAGAGAGCTTGATGGGCTGCATGCATGTTTTAATGCAAGAGGTGTAAGTTCTATCCCCAGCAACTCATGATCTCTCAAGCACCACCAGAAACTACCCCCAAGCACTCAAGAATTTCTTGGGGGAACCCTCAAGAATTGCTGGATTTGAGTCAAAAAACAGAAGGGGAAAACAAAACAAAACAAAAAAGCAAAAGAACAGAGAGGACAGAGAGACAGTACAGGAGTTAAGGCTTCTGCTTTGTACACATTCAACCCCAGCTTGACTCAACTTCACTCCCTCTAAACCAAACCCTCACCACCACCCCCTCCCCCCAAAAAAGTGATTCCTCCTAAAGAAAGCAAACAAGCAAGCATTCATAAGTCTAAAAATCACAGCTGTAGGAGCATAGAGGATAGAGGCAATTCTCTTTTCAAACACCCATCATGTAAGCACTGCTTAGTAAATTTTGGTTGAATCAATTTCACAGGCAATCACACTATTCAAATTTTAGAAGCCCAGAGAAACCTTCATGTAACCATAATAGTCTCAATAAAGTATACCCAACAGATACCAATTAGAAAACTCCTGTTCACACAGTTACTTCTGTCACCTCTGTCCAATTAATTGCTCTGTCCTCCTCTAAGTACAAGAAATACACTCCAGGGTGCATCTCACCATTGCAAGGGAGCTGTAATTGTGAAGGGAAGATAACACCTTCGTCACAGTTTTCACTGCCACTATGACACAGGGTAATCACCCGAGGTGATGGAGACAGGGTGACCACAAAGGCTCAGTATGTGACAAGCTGGTGAGAGGACGTATGATCCCAACTCCCACTCTGGTCAGAAAGCTGCCATGGTGTCCCTGCCAAGGACAGTTCTATATTAGAAAAGGCGGACCAGGGACACCTAAAACAACACCCGAGGACACCTGCCACTGGGCACACTTTCCTGCTGGAACACACAAGACAATATTAATAGTTTGCAAAGACTCAATTAGCATCAAGTCTAAGAAACTGAGTCCATGGAGGGGAAAGACTGGAGGAGGAGAGGTGCTGCACACTCCAACTGCCCTTTGAAGCAGTGACCAGAGACGAAAGAGAGGACCCCAACTCACCTCACTGTTATGGCCCCGCAGGTTGAAGTTTATTCTCTGGGGCGTGTTCCTGTCCCGACGGCAGTGGCTGGAGGTGAAAGTCACTCCCACGACCCCTCGACCATTGCCTGTGGCCAGCCAGCCCTCCTCATAGTAGCGCCTGCGGCACACCGGCTTCTCCTTCTCACTCTTGGGAACGCGTCCCTTCCAGGACAGGCAGAGGATGTTGGAGTCACTGCAAAGAACCGGCCCATGCTCCACCGCTGCAAACATACTTTTCTCCAATGAACTGTTTGACTTAAATGGTAATGTTGAATGTTGGAAAGTTTAAACCAATTTCTCTCACTGATTGATCTTATTTTTGCCGTTGGCTTGCGTTCTTCCCCAATTCCCTCTACTTAAGACTGACCTAACTTTAATTAGAAGGTCAGTATTTTATAAAGATCCACCAAATGCATAGTGAAAAAATTCCTCTATAAAAGACGATGGCAGGCTGCTAAGAAAAGGTACTGCTTTAAAAAAACACGTGGGGTCCATTTTTATTTTCAAGTCCTTAGAGGAAGAACGGGCTGACCCTTTGAGAAAGAGACTTGTTAATAAGTGGCCATCACAACACAGGAGTTTTCTTCTTTTTATTCAACTTGGTTATTCTCATTCAGCCTGAGATTCCAGTTTAGTTGATATGATTCCAGAGACAAATAGTTGCAAATACATAGATTTCAAGTAACTTAAGGCTTTAAGACTCCCTCAAGCTGGACATTTCTCTTCAAAAGTTCAGATGCAGAGACAGAATACATAGGAACATCTTCCCTTTGAAGCTACCCTCTGGCATGTTTTCTCAACTAGACAAATCTCTACACTAAAGCTGAGAAAGATTGCATAAAGGGAAAAAAGGCACACAAACTGTGCAAAAGAGACCAGAGTTTGTGCAAACAGCAGTCAAATTTTAGAAGAAAAATAATAATTAAAAAAAGATGGTCCCTACCCTTCAAAATCAGAAAATTCCCCCGTCAGAGCCTGACCTGGTTTCCCAGCAGATCGCTTTGTCCCCAGGGAGAACCAGGCCCCATCTGACTGCCCCTCCACAGGCTCTTGCTCCCCTCAGTGCCATAGAGGCAGAGAGAAAGCCCTTTCACCACACAACGCCAGGATGTCCTAAAGCTCTGAAAGTGGTCCAAGTGTTTGCCTTGAGTAAATCCTAAATCCTCTTCTGACAAATGAAGTCACACTGTAGAATTCTATGTCTTCTTTCTCCCTAGTCACTCGTTCCTTTCCTGTTCCTAATAATCACCTGTTTTTTTCATCTTGAAGGAAAAAATTAACCTCAGTTAAGTTCATTAAGTAATTCTTCTCTCACATGTAAGTCTTCATGGACCCAACAAAGAGAATCCTTTAAAGTGAAAACACCAGAGGCAAGAGTTGAATTCTTCCCAGCAGTCAGTAAAGAATTGGCATGTCTGGCTCCCGGGTGCTTTCTTGTTTCACATTCAGAAACTTTCCAATAGTCACACCTAAGGCCCAAGGAAAAGCTTCTTTGCTTGGCTTCTCCTGGATCTGTATTTTGTAAATTATCCTTTTCAATTACCACCTTAATATATTAGCCTACAGTTACAGAAAAAAATAAATAAATTAAAAGTTCTTGAATAGTTAACCAAAAAAGGTAAAGGAATCAGTTCACTGTTCAAACAAGTTCCATCACACCTGCTTTTCCCAGTCTTAACCACAGAGCGAGAGTTCCTTTTCAGGAGAAACTTATAATCTATTCAAATCACTGATCCCACTGAAAAATAAAGTGCAAAACACTGCATGATCCCCCAGGAGCAGTGCTCAAAATCACACTTCTTCCTCTGACACCTTCTAGGTTCCTTCTTTAAACTGGAAAGGTACTTTTGAGGCTTGATCTATGTGATTTTTTTTTCTTCTTTTTGCAAACTTTCTTTACCCGTGAAGACCGTATGGAGAGTTGGCCATTAGTGATGCATTTTCCTTCCAGGGCTCCTGAGCCCAGTGGTGTCAAGCTGCTCCATCTGATTCTCAAATTAATTTTCATCAGTTGTAAACCTCTCCAAGTATGCACAGAAATGTGTAAATGTGTTTCTATTAAAAAAGTTTGAAGAACACAGATATACACTCTTCAACTGGCATGCAAAGTGTCTGTTTTACCAGTGATTTCAGGAACCATCTGATTAATCACAGCTTGAAGGCCCAGGAGTCCTACAAATCTGTAAGACAAAACAGGATAAAAAATAATAATAATAAAAAATAAAAACTTGAAAATTCAAACAGTCAAAGGGTGCAGCTCGCCCACTTACACACAACATACCACATATGGCGCTGGAATTCACCACACTTGATTCAACCTGCCAGTAGCTGGGTACATGCAGATGAAATTCCTGGCTCTGCTCCCCCACATGGTTATGTCTAAGACCCGCCTTGTATCTAAGACTCTGGGCTCTGGGTGCACCACCTCCCCTTCCAAGGCTATCATTCGAGGGAGATAGGAAAGTTTCTCAAAAGGGAGACCGGAAAGGCTCAGGCAAGTTCACGAAATTAAGTTTGCTGGTGGCAGAAGGTATTCCTTGAAGACAGAAGACAGCACAATCCTCCACCATCCCGATTACTGAAGAGCACAGAGCAAAGCACAGCTGTTTTCTCAGCTTATCTTCTAGTTTTCTAGTCACCTAAAGTCTCAGAAAACTTATCTCCAGCAAATCCACTCCGCCTGCCACATTCACAAAAACACTGTACAACGAAGCCCCTTGCTGCCTCACATTACCCCAATTTCCAGAGGATCCTCAAAGCAACCTTCTGAAAAAAATCAAGGCTGCAAAAGAGCCTGGATTGTCCTCCAGTCCACTCCCCCTCCTAGCTGGATAACAACTCTCCCAGTTCCCTCCAGAGAGGAAGGTCTAAGGCAAGGTCCAGATACTTGCCTTTCTAACGAGTTTTCAGTGAATGTTAACAGCACTCACCGGGCACCAGTCTTTCAGAAGACCTGGTCTATGGGCGAGAGTGGCAGTAAAGACCTTTTATGGGCTGATTCAACTTGCCTTCTCCTCCCCCATGTCCTTACTGTTTCACAGTAAGTTTCTCTCTGACCCCTAAAGAACTGCCTGATTTCCACTGTGCGGCTCCCTTCCCAAACCAGGCACCAAGATTTCCTTAGAAACCCATTCACAAAAAAAAGAAAAAGAAAAAAAGAAACCCACCCACAGGGCACCTCTCCAGTAAAATTTCCCAGACTCGATGCTAATGTCTCTAACAGTCTTCATCATACTGCGTTTTATGGAAGGCTCCTCACAACAGTCACTGACTGGGAACCCAGTTCCTCATTCCTGCTGAAAACTGAGCATTTGCTAAGTACTCCATCAAAGTTGTATGAGGAGGCAGACCAGAGCAAATCAGCTATCCATGATTTCCATGAGATGCCCTCATTCTGATCATTCTGACGAGTCATGATATATAAAAACACAATGTACTTAGGAATCTAAACTCTAAATTCACTCAAAAAGCACTAGTAGCTGATCAATCCCTGAAAAATAAATAAATAAAACAAAACCCTTAAAACTAAAGCCATAAAATTCAACTATATTCTTTCTCCAGACTTATTGTGAAACAGTCTGGAGATGGAGACAGTGGTGAAGGAGAGGGCAAGTTGAAAAGACCATAAAGATTTCTCTCTGAATTTCACTCTGGAACATTATTTTTGTTCCTACCCAGGGTTGCAGGTAATATCAAAGACAAAAAAGTAGCAACGAATTCTCAAAAGCCTACTACAAGAGACAGCCATTTAGAGAAGAATTTTGAATTATTTAATAATCATTATCCATGATTAAAGCATGCACATTAATCATATAAACTACTGATTCTCCTCTTGGAAGAAAGCATAAAATGACTCACGATTGCCATGCCACTGGACAATTCACCAGGCTGTTTCATTCGAGGCACCTGGGAGGGAGGCGAGGGGTGAGGCCTCTCCCTGCCCCAAAGGACCCAGCCCCAGCAGTCAAAAACCTCCAGAACTCAACAGCAGCCATGCTCACAGCCACTCTCCACACAGATCCAGCCACGACTGAATGTATTCCTTGACCTCGAGGCTGCATCTCATGCTTTACACCACTAAGATACGAAGAGTAGTACATTTGATGGGGTTTAAAGCAGATGACAACCAATCTTAGGGGAAAATATATTTTTACAGATATCTATACAGATAAGCAAACAAGGCTCAATCTTTAACATGTTACTAATCTCTTATAGAAGGGCTCAATAGCCTCAGGGTGTAACAAAAATCTTCACACAATTTCCTCTAAGAAAAAAATTTTGGAGCATTTTCAGTGGTTTATTTATAACAAACAATACAACATATATTATTTTGGTTCTGTTTTGGGGCAGGAGTTGGGGTTCAGGATGGACACATTCTAAATTTGGTGGTGGGAAGGTGTAATGGTGGTGAATTGGTGTTCGAATATTAAAAGGAATCGAATATTGTGAACTACTTTATAAAAATTAAATTAAAAAATAAAAACAAAAAAATAAGCTATCAATTCTCTGAAGCCTTCACAGTAAGTTAATATGGCTCCAATTATTTGCAAAATAGAGCTAGGGAGATGGTACAGGGAGTAAGGCACTTACCCTCTAAGAGGCCAACCATGGTTTAATCCCTGGCACCAACATTTGGTCCCCCAAGCGTCCCCAGGAGTGATCCCTTAGTAAGTCCTGAGTGAACATCACTGGGTGTGACCCAAGCCCCTATTTCTCCCCAAAAGAACTACTCTTGGGTCTAATAGCTCAATGAGCTGAGTATACACTTTCCACAACTGCCTCCCACAACTGCCAGGAGCCAACCCCAAGCACAGAGGTGTGAGCCTCAAAACATTGCCAGGTGTGGTCACTGAAACAGAAATATATTGCCCTTGATAGAAGAAAAAAAACAATTTTTACTAAATCGCAACCCTACTCAGAAAGCTGCTTAATATTCTGCATTTTGAAGAGCAAAAGCCCAAAATACTTCTATTAGTAAGACAAATCTAAGAAAAACAATAAATTTGTGATAATTTACATTGCCTTTTTCATGAAACACCAAATATGCTGGAAAAATTAAAAAGATTATAGTAATTTAAACCTGGGTATTTGACAGATGAACCAGTTTTCTAAATGACAAATGCATTATACTTGAGTGAAAATCTATCTAAAGTGCCAGAAAGTGAGCAATGTTTTAACATAACCAAGTAAAAAAGCTTTGTATCACCATGCATTAGTCAATGTATTCTAAGTTCTACATTACTAACATTTACTGTTACTTGTTTTATTTTGACACAGTATCAAAGGAAATATTCATGATTAATTAAATGTAATTAAAATACACCTCCTTTTTTTCCCAAATATATTATCTATATAAAATCAGTTTTTTTTAAGAAGTGTTTATTGAGACCTTCTGATTTACAAAGTTGTTTATAATAGACTTGTTTCAGGCATACAATGTTCCAGCACCAATCCCATCACCAATGTTCTCTTCCCTCCAACAATATCCTTAGGTTCCCTCTCATCCTCCAGCCTGTGTCCTGGGCAGGAATATAACAAATTTCATACTGGACCCCCCCTTGGTCCAATAAAACTTTAAGAACTGACAAACAGAATTATCAGAAAATAAATCAATAAAAATTTGTGGTAAATAATTGCTATGTGTTTTAAACTTTTCTTAATCAAGTAGAGGAAAACCATTTTGCTATTTTCTGGAGGTTTTTTGGTACTTACTCTTGATCAGAGCTCACTGATTCTGTCCTAAGCAGCTGTTACTCTGCTTCTGAGGCCTCCCAGTGAGTTTTTCATTTCAACTACCAAGTTTTTCAGTTTTGTCATTTCTGTTTGTAGTTTTCTCATTTCTGCTATCATATCCCTTGTGTTTTGTTGGTTGCCCTTTCCATTGTTTGAGTTCATTAAATATCCTAAGTATTTCTACTATTTCTACTCTGAATTCCTTTTCAAAGAGCTTATATAAGTGGATAATACTGACTGAGTCCTCAGGATTACAATCTTTGCACACTGTGCCGAGCTGCTTTACCATGGTTCCTTTTGTAGTCTGGGGGTGCTCCTTTCCCATTTCACTCTCACGGGGCCACTGCCAGGATGATCTCTGGAGGAGCTCTACTGAAGTGGGAAGATTAACCTGAGGTTCATTAGTGGCCCCTGCCACAGGTGACCACAGCACTGCTTTTTGACCTTTGGATGGAGCCAGCTTCCCCAGCGTGGCTCAGCATTTGGTGAGCTTCTTCTGGGACTTTCGAGCTCCTAACTACTGTTTCTCTCCCACGTTTGCCTTCCGATTTTTCAGGGACTCCGATGACTCCTCTACTGTTCGCC